GAAGAGGGTGAAGAACACAAACCAGATATTGGTGAGTTTGAATACTTGACCATCACTTGTTTCTCATAAAGATCTCATAGCAAACACTGTATTCACATGAAAAAAGAAAAATATATTGACCGTTTAAAATAGTGTAATTATTTTTACATTAAGAGATCACATAACCAGTATTATACTATATACTTGTATAATTAGTTAAATATTTATATTTTATCTTATTTTAGAAGCTCGTAGTAAATAGATCTATTTTATTTCAGATGACAAACCAGAAGATGTCCTAGCATTTCAAGAGTTTATTAATAAACATGTAAAACCCAATCATAGTGAGAGCAAAACTTGAAATTATTTGTGAAATAAAATATGATAAAAGGTAATCTATTTTTTATTAAACAAATACAGAATATTTAAATATGTAATTATAAAATAAATAACTTAAGATAACATTAAAATTGAATGTTAAACTGAATAAAAATAAGCAATTTAGTAAATTCAAATTCTAAAACAGTGTAAATGAGCGTCACTTACCATGTCAAATTAGCATTCTTTATTTAAATTCTAGGTTTTTCATTTCCACCTTTCGGCCAGTCTTATTCTTATAGACTTATTGCCACAATTTGTAGAATAAAAGTATTGTATTTAGAAAAATGGCTTAAAGGTCTCGTTACCAGGCCATAAAATTAAAAAAATAATAAATTAGAAAATGCTTACGCATGAAAAGGAATTCATTTAGCCCTTTTTAGTATCTGTATATATTCGTAGGAATATTTTAATATAGAATACATTGACATTTCGTATAATCATTTGGCATTCAGAGACAAGTGAGTTTATGGCCATCTGTCAAAACTTGACAGTGGTTATTCGCGCTCAAACTCGCACCTGTTTAATTTACTGTTGTTTTATTGGGTGTAAATTACGACCTCTTAGTAAAAATATAAGAAAGTAAAGAACGTAAATTTATAAAACACACAAAATAATATTATAGAACTAACAACACTAAGATTCGAGTGCAAATAAATGAGTACAAAAATTTGTTTCAGTGTGGTATTATCTATTTATTCAACAGGTCAAATAAATTATACATATATAATTTATTATGTAGATTCTAATATTCTTTGTTCGATTAGGTTAGTAGGAACAATTTTTAAGTCACAGACTATTAATTGTAGAGGTATTCATCTATAAAGTAAAAAATTCTGCTATTTTTAAAAATTATTTTAAATTAATAACTATAATTAATTGGAACAAAAATAAATAAAATAAAATTAATTTTAGTGACTTACATACTAAAACCTGTCATCTCAGCTTATCAAACTTAAATCTCAAGACTTATTGTATTATTTGTATAGGCTCGTATTCCAAACAGTTTTAAGTCTAAATTTCCTTTCTACATACGGTCTCTAAGCCCAATACATCTTGGAGTACGAACAAATAAGCAATTATATTGTGTAACGCAAAAGGCCCGTTATTTAGAAGCGTGTCTCAATCTTGTCTTGAGCACTATTAAATTAAGATAAAGTGCTTTGACACTTCGGACAAGATTAGATTTCAATTCGCCTAAGACGCAGTGCAGCCTGTCTTAATAAATCACTCATATTCAAAACGTGTCTCAAGTCTTGAAACTACAATGATTTAAGTTTGTCGTATACTAATTAATTGACGTAATGATAAAGCAAAACATCTAACCGCGTAACAAAGTATTCCTTATCGGTGTGATAATACACGCCCATATCTAGATTGATAACGCCGTTTAAAGGTCAAACGTAACTTAAGTTTCGACGTTATTATAGAAACTGGGCTTTATTTTCGAAATTTAACGACTCGTTTTTATTATTTTTGTAAGTTTGTCTAATCGAAGCAACTAACTTTGCTGCAAAACTTAATTGGCCTTTATAAGCATGGATCATTCGAACATATACATCGTTACCATGGTAACACAAGACACTGTATCTTTAATCCACGTTTTACAAAAATCTATGACGAGATAAAACCATTGGTAAATATTGAATACACTCAATAAATATTAACAAAAATTTTAGGGATTCAGAGTCAAATTTGAAGTTAAAAGCTACTTCCATTTGTTAAATTTGAGTTTGACATACGGACTCTAAGGCCTGTATGTAAATCAAACCTATATACAGTTTCAAGTGCTGTCAAAAAAAATTTGTATGACATTTGACAGCGCTCAAGGCGAGATTCTTACTTGAGATGCGAATAATGTGGAACTTAATCACAGTATGTAATGGGTTATATATTTATTTATTATATATGTATATTGTATAATAAAATAACAAAAGTACAAAGTCCTTATCATAATGATTTTTCAAAATATAATTCTTTAGATTGTATCAAACATTCAATGTTAGATTAAACCCTGTCAATAAAACAAATCACTGCGATGACGTCATACCCTGAAACGCGCTAACGAAGAAATTCCGACTAAGGATATTTACTTCTCGACCTAGCCACTCGGGACAGTCTGGTTGAGGAACCTGCCTTAAGGTTGGAGACACTTCGCAATCCTTCGTCCACAAGACTATTCCTTCAATTTAAAAAAATATCATAATAAAGATTCGTTTTCTAAGTACTATTATCAATTAGAAGTTCAAAGCAATTTGAAAATCAAAATCAGATTTCAAGGTTCTTTATCAATTGAGGTAAGTATCAATTTAATCGTCCATTAGATATTATTTTACGACTTTTCAAAGACCTAATCGAATTTTCTTTAAATACATAATTTGTCAAAGAGAAATTCTTAAGTCAGGTACTGTGTATTAAAATATCCAATAACTTATCACATCTAGATTTTACTATACTATAAACTAATATAATTTAAGTATTTACGCCGTGTTAAGTGTGTTGCTGATAGAATCAGTTTTATCTGCTTTGTAAGCGTGTCCATTCACAGATTCACTCATGACATCTGTCAATGTGTTTCCTATGCCATCCGTCGAACCCCGGCTGTTGACAGCTGTCATTCTGCCGTCGCGTTCCATTGTTGGGTCGTCAAGTAGCCACGCCGGCTTGTACGCAATGTGCCCGCTAATGGTGTACGCTAAGGACGGGTTCGGGCACGTATTGTGAATGCTACCAATTGATGTGTAACTGAAATAAAAATTGTATGAAAATATTTGAATTATTACACAGGTTACTACTGTCAACTGAACATATAATAAGGCCGCTGTAAAATATGACCATTTATAGCACATAATATTTACTGAGAAAACTTTAATTTATTTCGTTTATATTTATTTATATGGATTTTTTACGATTTAATTATTTTAATTATTTAGGATATTAATTTATTATACTTGATGGCAATTTATTAAATACTTATGCATTTTGATACATATTATTGATGGCTAAACGCGACAAAACAAGATAGCATACCAAGTAGCAAATACAGTATTAAAATAAATAAAAATTTGTTTATTCATTATAACAATGCATTCCAATGCGTTAGATTTGGGAACCCTTTTAAGTAAATTATATCTGTGTCAGGGTTCCCAGATTTTCAGCAACTTAATAGTTATTCCGTAACCATTTTTTGTTTGATTTTTAAATTATGATTTTGATTTTTTTAATTGTTTATAACAACCTCCAATTTTTATTAACAAGAAGCAAAACTTGAGTGTATGAATGATACTTTTATCAAACCCGATCGCTGTAGATTTTTATAGGTATTGATGATAGCTAAATAATAAACCTCACCCAATATCATATAGATTGCAGTAAGGAACGTGACGCTGCAGAATGTAACTCCATATTTGATGATAACTCCAGTTGAGAATTGGAAATACACGTACTACCTGGGGCCAGGATGAATCCGTCTTCTGAAAAAAAAACGCACTTTGAGACCCACATCTCGTATCTTGATATCAGTTTGATGTTTCTAGGATATCGTATATTTTGCATAAATATCTGAGTATGTACTTGAGTATAGATCAGAATACGACTACGCAGTTTGTTAATAGGCTACCGACATTCATGAGATAAGAACTGTTCGCGCATTAACCGCCATAGAATAAAAAATAATATAGGTAGCACAATAAGTGAACTACAGTGCCACGGTAAGAGCGTTGCTGTCATAGTATTGCCAGTAAATAAAAATTAACCATTAAAGGGCAATAATTTGAAGCCATGCAGGCTAACTTAATAATTTATTGAAACGTCTTAATATTCAATAAAACAATGTATCTAGGAAATACAGATCTAGGCTTAAATAAATTTGACGCAAACTTAGAAACAAATGATATGATAGGTTTTGTTACCTGTACTATTATTGCATATAATATCTAGCAATCAGAACCGGTCGATTATTAAAACTTTGAAATTGTAATTAATCATACAAGGAATGAATCAATACATTTTAATAGGATTTTTATTAGATGTTGGTAGATAGTAAAATTATTTATTGTACGCACCAAGAAATTACAGAAAATAAACAATGTCAGTCTGACATTTCAAAATGGCGACGGTAGTACCAATTTCAGCCGCCAGCCAAAAAAATTTGGGGCACTATACGTTGAGTTAAAGCCCGCATTCTAGAACGTCAATCAAACCTAAATATAAACTAGAGCTGTCAAACCGAAACCGCTGCGTGAAGATTGACATTTGACAGCACTGAGACGAGACTGTTACTTGAGATACACATAAGGACTTAGAATTCGTTTCCAGGACTTGAAAGTAGAGAAAATTAAACAGGCGCAAAAGAATCAATAAACTTCTCACCTGCATAAACTTCAAGTTCTGACTATAAGGATCAGTCCGTCTAGTTCCCATAAGGCAAGCTTTCAATCTCCTGTCGCCTTCCAATATATTTTCTAACGCAGTCTTCATTTCACCCTCAGTCACAACCAATTTAACTTTATAATGCGCCTCAACTTCTTCTATAAAAGACTCGATTTCTCTAAAAGGTCCCTTAGTACGCATGTATACGACTTTCAGATCTTTCGCGATATCATCTTTTTGATGAATATCCTTTAATACGTTTATTGTAAGGTCTAGTAAGACCGTGCAGTCTTTCCCGCCATTGAAAGACAAGAAGACCTCGTCCAGTCTGAATTGTGAGAAACATTGTCTTATAACCTGTGAAGCATAAATAAATTAAACGTTACGTCGCATTACATGGGGGGAGGGTGCGGTGACAATAATTTCCAAAAATTGCGTGACGTAATACTTGAACACTCCCTTAGCCACGTTGCCTTATTTGCAAAGCGATACGAGTTATTGGATACGTTATTCAATTACTAATTAAGCAGTCAAAAGTTGAAATCATCAGAATTTTTCAAATTCCGTCTGCATAAACCAACCTAGGAGTTCAGGCTCCTCATTCGAATTCTTCACGATTATAACGGATTAAACAGTAGTTATCCGGATATTAAACAGTACTTAGCTGGATATATTTGGTAGAGGGCTGATCAATTTTAAAGAAAGCATTGTTAAGTGCCTTTCTCATACGTAATGCGCTTGTTTGCTGGTAATTTTTTTATTTTTGTTTAACAATAAACAAAATAAAAATACTAGTTTACTATAGGTCTACTGTATATATATTACAGGCTAGCTTATCTAAAAAATATGACAATTTTGGTAAATGTTACAAGAAATAAATATATATATTACAGTAGATATAGTATTATGTATGATGGAACTTCAATAAATTAAATGTATGTCATTGAAAGATTTTTTCCACAAAAACGGTTTACCTGCTCAGATTCTTTAGTGACCTCGGCGATATCTTCAAAATTCATAATAAACTCGTTAGGTTGCGGCATGTCTCGCTGTAAATTGAAATATATTTTTACAACAAAAAACCCGAAGACAATTTGTTATAATTAAAGATCAATTAAAAATTAATTGATGCTTTAACTGAAATGATAGTGTTATACTCGTGTAGATATCCATCTAAAACTACGAACAATATTATATAATTAATATATTGTGTCTATCGACGTTCCTAACCATTTGCAACATTGCACGGTGAATTAATTCTCATTAGATCATGATAATACAAAACAACCTTTATATAGCATAAGTATAGTAGGAAGTAATTTCAACTCATTATAAATTAACAAGTACCAATTTAAAAAAAAAGTAATTAATGTTTTGCGTCTTACTTTTTAGATAATATAACAATAATCGTGTATAGCTAGAGTGTAGCCACGTAACCTTAGGTAGAGGTTTTTTGAGTTGATTTCCTGTAGCCAAGGCCGAATTGGTTGTCTTATGCATTTTCTATTAGTTAATAATAATAATCTAGTGGCGCTGCAACCCTAAACCGGTCTTGCATACGTTTCTTTGATCTCTTTTATTTCATATAAGTAGATGATCGGCTTTCTACCTGACACATGTCGCGGATTTTTGGATTTGAGATATGTCGATCTCGTGACTAATGTTATAAGCACAGTGTTAATGCACAGCCGGGGCTCGAACCTACGACCTCAGGGATAAGTCATACGCTGAAGCCACTAGGCCAACACTGCTAACATCAGAATTGGAGTAGTTTACTTTTATTATTTCAATAATAATAATAATTTAAATGTCAACATGGACGAAAGCAACAATTTATAAAGTTTTTTTTATAGAACCGGGGACAAACGGGCAGGAGGTTCACCTGATGTTAAGTGATACCGCCGCCGATGGACACACTCAATGCCAGAGGGCTCGCGAGTGCGTTGCCGGACTTTTAAGAATCGACACGTTCTTTTAACAAATTAGTAACATATAAGTTTTGTATTGATTTTTATTGCTATGTTTATATATTTATTAAAGGTTAGACGTTATCTAAATGTGTATCATAATTATACGATCACAATTCTAGTTCGTTGATAATATTGTGCCCCTAATAATGGAATTTACTGAGATGACTTATTTCGGTAATTTTTTTTAATATTATAAATTAGGACAATTATGACTATGAGTTCTTATATTCTTGCCCGCTCTACGCCCTTGATTTGCGAAATGGTAGTAAATGTAAATTTAGAATCAATTTACAATCTTTTCTGTTCATAAGTGTAATGTTACCTATATGAATAAAGTCATTTTGAGTTTGAGTTTGACACAGCAGTCCATCACATCATGTAGCACAGCATCCAGCAGTAACGTAACTCCATATTAAATGCCATTTAAGATAATAATAAAATATCTGTTTTATTGTAGTATAGATTTACTTTCTGTTAATAAGCAGCTAGATGGCCACTTAGAACCATAAGAAGAAATTTTATGCTTTTTCAAAAGTACTAAACATTGGACTTCCAGTACAGTTCAGTCCCCCATTTATAAAATTTGGTAAATATAGTTTTAATTATCATAATTATGAATAATAAAGTTGTGACTATTACCTAATCTTGCTCAATTTAATTCTCTTACTAATCAGTGATATTGCATAATTTTAATTTACTTAATTATTAGTTTCCTCATTGGTTCTTCATATTCAAAGTTTAAGAATTAAATACACTTAAGTAAGTATATAAAATTATGTATATTTATACTTATTATTCATACACAGAGTTTCTTAATAGGTGGCTCATCATTTTGCACTAATTTTTTACTAAACAACACTTCTTTGCTTAGCTTGAATGTCACTCTCATCATTTCCTTTTTAGGTGAAACAGTGCGCACATTAAAAACATCAATGATATCTTTTGAGATATCATATCCAATATTTTCAATTACTTTTTCCTTTGATATTTTTACAGGGTCTTCACCTACAGCGAAACAGTACACATAAACAATGATGTCACACTTAATGTTACTAGATAAATCTTCAATACTTAGTAATGCATTGAAACTATTAAGAAATTCAACTGCCAATGCCGGTAGATTCATAGTTATGTGGATTTTTGCTTCATTTTTTAATATCTTCTTGCCATTGAAAATATCTGTGACATAATCTTTAAATATGGTACAGATAAAATCTTTTCCATCTTGATTATACAATTTTAGTCTAGTCATATCAATTTTATTACTTTTAGCATTGTGTTCAAGCCATTTGAAGGAATCTGGGTTAAGATCATTAGCAAAAACTTGACATTTTCTTTTTGCAGCTGGAATTGAAAATGGACCTACACCACAGAAAACATCAAAGAGTACATCTTCTGGTTTTAAGAACTCTAAAATTCTTTCATGTTCCTTGCATAAACGAGGATTCCAGTAAACTTTAGAGAAATCTAATTGAAAGTTACAGCGGTTTTCCTTAACTGTCACTAGAAAGTCTTCTTCACCTGCAATTACTTCCATTTTGAAGTTTCTGTAGGTGTTGTCTATGATATTGCTTTTATTTACCACTGTTCTGCAAGTTTTAATTTTGTCCAAAAGGACTTGACCTATCAAATAGCGATATTCAAACAAATGTTCTCTCAAGTTTAAGTGAATAATATGACCAATTTGAGAAAAACTACTTACAATTTCCTCATTCTCTGGCAGAACAGCTTTAAATATGATATCAAATTTGAAGTTATCATAAGTTAACTTAAGTGTGACAAATGTAAAGTTGGACTCATCAACATCATAGTTTTTAAGTGTTAATCTGTGATTTTCTGCTATATCAGACCAACATTTGATTTTTTCCGGGTTGAAAAAAATTCTTTTTCTCCTTAAGTTGTCTTCCGTCACATAGTTTTGAACTGGCTTGAAATTTTCCAACTTCAGAAAATACGGCTTCACTATTGGAGTAGTTTTTGCCAGTTTATCTTCAGTCACCTCAAGCACTGGAACACTCACGTTTCGTAAGAATTTCTCGCGGTCTAAGACTTTCATACCACGGACACCAATTGGGGCTAACGAAACTGACACAGACATCCTTGTAAATAATTTTTGAAAAATATTTTGTATTTGGGTAACGGTCATAACTTACACCAAAATATTGAAATACTAACCTAATCCCAGGTCAGAGAGTAAACATGTGTTTTTCCTTCCATAGAAATGCACTACAAATTACAATAATTTGGGAATTGGTGGTGTATCAAAAGCTATAATTTATACATTTTAAAAACTAAAATTAAAGCCATTAGCCAACCATATCCAATAATATTGTCACGCGTGACACTTGACACTAGCACTTCATTGCATCATTCAATATTTCAGTTCAAATTGTCAAATGGATGGAACGGATATGATACATGACATAAAAGTGTCAGTCAACTGCATGTGGAATTCCTTTTTTAATTTTTATAACATAATCATATTTATTTGAATTTGAACCACTGGTGAAATTCAAAATAGTATGGTGTATAAAAAAATTGTGTTGGTCAAAAATCATTAAGTTATGTACATATTCTGACAATCAGATGGCGTGGAAAATGTTCATTTTTTTTTTTTTTTTTCAATCTCAAAATATCTTTATTCAAGTAGGTAACCAAGTACACTTTTGAATCGTCAAGTTAAATTAATCGTAAATTTACATTTACTACCAGTTCGCAAGTCAAGGGCGTAGAGCGGGTAAGAAGAACTGGCAAGAAACTTTCCGCCACTCTTTTTAATCGCCAAGTATTGTCATACAAATTGTTTGAACTGGAGCAATTCAATCCCAAGGATTAGGATCATTTAAGTAGTCCTCAAATTTATAAAAAGCTTTGTTGATTAATTTTCGTTTAACGAGGGCTTTGAATTTATTTAGTGATAATTCTCTAATTTCGCTTGGGAGCTTGTTGTAAAAACGAATACAATTTCCATATAAGGAGTGGTTTATCTTTTGGAGCCTGGTTGGTCGTACACTCAAATTAGTTCTATTTCGCGTATTATACTGGTGAAAGTCACCATTTGTTTTAAAATCGTTTATATTTTTTTGGACATACAACAAGGCTTCAAGAATATATTGACCAGATAGTGTCATAATATTTAATTCCTTAAACTTATTCCGTACCGACTCCCTCGGAGAAACACAACAAATACCCCGAACAGCCCGCTTCTGCAGCACAAATATGGATTGAACCTCTGCAGCAGCACCCCACAGTAAAATGCCGTACGACATAACGCTATGAAAGTAGCTATGGTACACAATTTTAGCCGTGTCCTCATCAGTAAACTGTCGGATTTTCTTTACTGCATATGCTGCAGAGCTCAGCCTATTCGAAAGAGTCTCTATGTGTGGGCCCCATTGGAGTTTACTATCTATTGTTATGCCTAGAAAAACAGTTTTGTCAACAAAGTTTAGTTCACTGTCCTTAATTTTCAGGTTACCAATATCTCGCTTTACGCTAGTAGTTGTAAATCTAATACATTTTGTTTTATTCTCATTAAGCAATAAGTTATTTACATTAAACCAGTTAACTATACGAGAGATAGAATTGTTTACATCGTCCAATAATACGTTATTCCTATTCACTTTAAATAGAAGTGAAGTGTCATCAGCAAACAATACCATCTCATGAACTTCGTTGACAAAGAATGGGAGGTCATTTATGTAAATCAGAAATAAGAAAGGCCCGAGAATCGATCCTTGGGGGACGCCCATTGATACCTGCGAACCCGGAGAGGTGACTCCATTGACATGAACTCTTTGGATCCTTCCCTTTAAATATGAATTCATCAGGCTGGAAGCTTTGCCATCAACGCCATAGTGTTGAAGCTTTCCAACGAGTATATCAGGATGAACACAGTCAAAGGCCTTTGACAGGTCACAAAAGACGCCGACTCCATCATATGATTCTTCCCAGGCGTTAAATATGTCCGAAATCAACTTCACACCGGCATCGATTGTGGAGCGACTCTTAGTGAAACCATACTGTTTATTATAACATTAAATATATACATTGATAAATAATGGGAATTAATTCATATGTTTATAATTTAATAGGAGAAACAAGCATGAGTCACAATTTTAGATTGAAAGTAAAATTACCGTGGAGATGTGCAAACCATTGATATACAAAAAACCCAAGATGCACAGTCTCGAATAAAAGTAACGCTCGAAAGTGTCCCGAAACACTATTTCTGTCTCTTTCTATAAGTTACAAGCATATATTATTGCAAAATCAACCTTACGCGAATTATTTAAAGTTGTTATTACAACGCAGTGTACTTACAGCAATAAAATTTTACGACCGACCGTGGTCGGTAGGACAAGGTATTGAGTGGAGTCGAACATGACTTTTTTATTTACAACTATTTAACATAATTTTAAATTTATCCGACGCTTAGCGTGCTTTACAGCGTGCGTGGTCACGGTGACTGAAGACAAAAGGTGTTGGATGTTAAATAGTTGTAAATTTATAATAATACATAACTTTAATCCGGTTAAAAAGTTTTTTCTTTAAATTAAAAAAAATATTAAATTGGCTACCTCCTGACCTACACTTTATATAGCGTAAATATATTTGTCAAAAACTACACACAAAATAGTTCAAAAGTACATAAATTTATTTATAAAAAAAACACAAATAAATAACATCGACTCCACTTATTAGAACAGGGTCATTCTTATAATGCGACTAAAATAAAAAGAAGACTGTAATGCGTTGTTCTAACATTGAACAAGCAGCCATTGAAGTTGGCCGTATAGAAGTTTGTGCGTTGAATGAAGTTTTTAGAAAAAATAAATAAAAATCACACATTGCTTGTTATAATCAGTCATAAAAACAACAAAAACTAATCAATAAAGTTTTTTAATTACCGAAAATACGATATCCCATCCTTTTCTAGCCTTCTTGACGTTATATTTTTACAATTTCTCACAGAACACTTTGGCATTTTTAACAACTGCTCCCAGACGCGAGCGACGCGAGACTATTTGAAATGAGCGCACAATTTAGAATGTTGCGCTCATTTTTTGAGGACGTTTTTTAGACGTTGAGTGTGCATCTTGGGTTTTTTGTATATCAATGGTGCAAACTAAACAAAAGGTTAACTTTTAATAAAATTGAAAGTTGAAAGATATTTTGTCTTAGTAGTAGAAATTAAGCTACAACTTTGATTGTTCTGTTCGCTGACTAACTCTAATGTTATATTACTACAAAGTGGTTTCCAATGTAATATTGTATAATTATTGTGTATTTTGTAAAAGAAATAATATTATTAAAATAAAAGTATTTTTGAGTATAAATTGTAAAATTACCTTACCTACAAATTTTTATAATGTCAAACTTACTATACCATGCTGAAAGTAATCAGATTTATTCACATTCACGTTTATTACTTATTTATGCCGTCTGTGCCAAATTCCCGCGACAATTTGGCGGGAATTTATGTAATTTATTCTGCATCGAAAAGTCAGTGTTTGTTTATGTGTGAGGATTATTTATTTTTAAAATTATTTTTGCTCTTCGCTCGCCAGTTAACGAATGTTTTATTGACGATGTGTAAATTGTGTGATGCTACATTTTCTGTTGGTTTGATGTATTAATTAAAATGGCTATGTAAATGTATAGATAAGTGTGTAGGTACACCATGTCATAAACATATTTACCTACAGTAAAATTAAAGATCCTTAATTGTCTTTTAAAGTGTGTGTTTAATTAATAAAATACATTTTTTGTGTCTGTTGTCGCTCTTTTACTTATCAAATAACATAACTACTAAAATCAATGAGTGATTTGGCTGTACATTACAATTAACCCTAACTCAACACTAAGGTTGAATTATTAATGAATAAAACATTATCTATATTAAGTGTACGAAAATTACTAAGCAACATCAAATGAGTGACGTATAAGCTTGGACCTTGGTGTTCTTGGGTTCTATCGCTGGAAATCTCTGCCTATTGCCATTGTAGACAGATCACCGAATTACCCTAAAAATTCTCAAGAAAATGTATGTATCTTGCTCCATACGGGGCTTCATACGTCGACGCATGCAAGCCAAAAATATTTTGATTTTCCAATTGCCAATTTTGGCATACCAATTGCCCGCCGTTTTCGTTCAGAAACGGAAACATACCAATAATGTTACTATAGTCTATGTCACTCAGGTATAATTAAGATTTTTACTGTAAAAAAAATATCTAAATCTGCAGTTCCATACAAACAAATTTAAAAATACTTATTTATATTAAAGATCGTGTGTTACGGCCTTAAACAGTGTTTGGTACTAACTCACAACCTTAAAACAGCAACGTACCCAATTTCCTTATAAAAATCTTTATTGCATCAGTAAACCGTAGAATGTAAACGCGGGATCGAACGTAAAAAAGTTTATAAAAGCATTATTGTGGCTTCAAAACGGATACTTTCGGTAATCCAGGTAAAATGAGTTTCAAGATCTGGTTGCTGTTTACCAATTTTGTTCGTTAACTAGCTTTGAGAACTTCAAGGTTCAATCACAAGATAAACTAAAGCAAGAATTGCTAGAACCCATTTGGTAGATTGCTTCTGTGTCGTCGTAATACTTATATCCGCTCATTCAAAACTAATTTATTGTAATTGCACAATTTTAACGAAAGTATTCATCTCTCTCTTATCATCACAGCGTAAACACAATTGACATGAATAAGAGGGTTGAATGAATTCTGTCGCAAAAATTTAAAATTATTGCCATAAAAAAAATGTATTCTGTCGATTACAACTATACATGACAAAAAAGTATAGTCAATCCAAGTGCCTGTATTACCGATATTTGAACTCAAGAACGCATTTTAATGCCCTTAAAGTTAATAATTAAAAAAAAGCTTTAATTAAACAAAACATTCGTAAAACTTTTAGTAAATTGTCAAAGTTGACATGACAAGTACAAAGATCTAATACAAAATTCTACCGCCCTTCTGACCTTATCCTTTGTGCGTTTCTTACACAATATCATCCAAAACGTATGCCCTTAGAGAGTTTACCCCTTCCTAGTGATTAAATAGTATTTTGTCACCCCTGGAGGCCAAAAGTGTTCATAACTTATCTCCTTTACCCAGAGCTGTGCTGTTT